TTTGGATCATTCTCTTTTCTCATAACTCATTCATCAATGTTCGTCTATCAATATTATAAATATTATTTTAATGATAGTGCTGACTTCAAACTTTTGTGAGGTCTGAAATAAAACAGCAGAAATATTAAAAAATATATCTTTATCATGCATTAGAATAGGTAGTAGGAACACCATAAAGTTATCATATTCGTAATATTTCTATCATTATATTATCATTGCTAGATTTCTTAATCCCTTTCATTTCTCTGTTGTTCCAATTAGCACACGGTTTCATGACCTCAGCATATTTGTTGGAAAACAAAACATGCTGTTTTTTGATCATCGTGAGTTCGCTTCATCCTGTTGATGGAACGCAAATCTGTTGTTCTGACAGGAAGGATTGAGTCATTAAATCCCAGCGTACCAAAAAGAAATCCGCATCTGAGCGTGAGCGGATTTTGGGTCGGTGTATGGGAGGCCAACCGTGACCGTCTCTTTTGTGTGCTGAAGGATGCCAGCTTCCGCTCTTTGTTCTCGAGCTTTATTCACTTGTTCAGGCAGGAAAATAGATTTACAATTAAAATTTTGCAATAGTTTTTTTCAGAAAATGTTTATAATGTTTTTTAGCGCATTTTCTCATTTATGGAAAAAATGCACTATTGTGCTCGCCATGTCCGTCCTGTCTGTCCGTTCGTCTGTCCGTCCGTGACCTCAAGTTTTCGTCGACGAGAAAATGCGCTCTCTGTCACTCACTGCAGTGAGTACTGAGTTAAATTTTTTATAAACCAAGTTTTGGTAAAATTTGTTGTTATTTTTTGCATTCTCCAAGAAAAATTTTAATATAGAGCTGTGAGAAGTTTATGAATGCATACAAATTGTAGCCCCATAAGACATTCTAATATCTAAAAAACGAAATTTTAATAATCATATCCCTTCATTTGATAAAGTTCAAGTTTTTGTCTGCTTCACCAGTTGTTTGTGAATAGTTTTGCAAATTGCCTATATAGCATACCAATCACAAGATGAGTGACGGAACAATATTAATGAATAATTTAGCACAATTATTAACAATTATTTAGCATAATTTAACTACAAGACTCCTGCATAATGCGTATATGTCACTAAAAATGAAACCATTTTTTCATATCTTATCTGGCAATGAATTTCAATTTTTCAAACTAACAATGCACGTAAGGTGTCTCGAACGCCTGAGACACGCGAGGTCACGGAATCATGGAAAATATAAATACATATTTCGAATTTTTTTTATCGAGCGTCATCGGCTGTATATGGTCGTATAAAGGTCGCGCGTGACAGTTCGTCTGATGCCGCCGATAAAACGACCATAAACGGTTATATCCGCCGAGAAATACCAAAAGACTGCAAAAAATTGCCGCTCTGTGAAGTTTATGGCGCGATAAAGAGCGTATATACCTGAGAGAAGGATCGGTACGCGATTACGCAAACTGCAAAGTAAAATCAAGTGCAGGCACGAAACTGTTAACGGTATAGGGTATATGTATTGTATATGAAGGGTATAGGATTAGATAGGGTATGGGCAGGGTATAGGTAGGGTGTAGGTAGGGTATATGTAGGGTATAGGTAGGGTATAGGTATGGGATAGGTAGGGGATAGGTAGGGTATAGGTAGGGGATAGGTAGAGGATAGGTGGGGTATAGGTAGGGTATAGGTAGGGTATAGGTAGGGGATTGGTAGGGGATAGGTAGAGGATAGGTGGGGTATAGGTAGGGTATGGGTAGGGTATAGGTAGGGTATAGGTAGGGTATAGGTAGGGTATAGGTAGGGTATAGGTAGGTATAGGTAGGGTATATGTAGGTATAGGTAGAGTATAGGTAGGGTATAGGTAGGGCATAGGTAGGGTATAGGTAGGGTATAGGTAGGGTATAGGTAGGGGATAGGTAGGGGGTAGGTAGGGGATAGGTAGGGGATAGGTAGGGTATAGGTAGGGGATAGGTCGGGGATAGGTAGGGTATAGGTAGGGAATAGGTAGAGGATAAGTAGGGTATAGGTAGGGTATAGGTAGGGTATAGGTAGGGTTTAGGTAGGGTGTATGTAGGGTATAGGTAGGGGATAGGTAGGGTATAGGTAGGGTATAGGTAGGGTATTAGTAGGGTGTATGTAGGGTATATAGGTAGGGTATATGTAGGGAATATGTAGGTATAGGTAGGGTATAGGTAGGGTATTTGTAGGGTGTATGTAGGGTATATAGGTAGGTTATATGTAGGGTATATGTATTATATAGGTTGACATGCCGCAGGAAAAGCTCTATTGTATTAGATTGTATTGAAATACTTTCTAAATGAATAAGCCTGTCTGTATGCATAACGCATTAGGATGAACGATTGATCTCTAGTTATTTTGTGAATCTTTACAAACAATGTGCAAATTTCAACATCTACATTCACGAAGACAATGTTGATTGTCACTCAACTGGTAAGTATAAATACATTAAAATTCATGGGCTCGTGTATTTTGTATGCATGCTACATGCAAATAAATCCATCAGCTTGGGGAATTCGAATTCAGATGATTGATTTAAATTTGATTTGATCGTGTGATCCAGCAATAATTCAGAGTTATGATGAAAAATTGGTACTATTAACATGAAATAAAAGGTTGTATAACTTGAAAATTTCTTCACGTTTCATGTCCATTCAATCAACCTGAATTGGGCAGAATCAAGTAGCCACTATATAGCAAGTATTTTCAACTCTCCACGCCCCCGCAGCCGGCCTTCAAATTTAACGTATCATTTCATCCTGTACCTACTTAAAAATGAATGGGGTATTTTAACTTTTCACTATAGTGAGTATATTCTTAAACATCCTTTTAAAGATTGTACACCCCTTAGCTCACATATATACGGCCAATAGGCTCTTCAGATACTCGCCGGAGGTAAGAAAGCCACCTTAATTGGGCCAATTTCTGCCTTTTATCTGTCAATTGCCGCTCCCAGATGCTGTGTCAATGCACGCTAGCTCAAACCTTGTGCCTTGATTCCACCCACATATGCATTCCTGAGTGTTGTTCATACTGCCACTATTTGCATCATTATTCGATAGAATTCAACCCAAAATTTGTCGTATGTAGTATTTTTCTTTGATGCGACATAAAAGCTCAAGCGAAGAATGAGAAATAGAGCGAGAATTACACATTTAAGACCAATGCAAAAAATAACTTAAGCAGACCATAGTGGTAATAAGCAAGCATTAAATATCACGTAATGTACGTTTATATATGTCAGAAATATCAGATAACATTAGAATTATAGAATGTGAACCCAGAGAAAACAATTCAGACATCAAAACAAGACAGACATATTTGTGTTCTCCAGCCTCACAAGGACACAATTACAGATAATTCCAGGAGAAACAACACGAAATGAGACAAAGCTAGCGCAGATACAGATATAAAACAACGGAGGGTAAGTGAAGAGTTAGCAAAACAAACGGAATCTAATGAATTATTATAAGCCGTATGAATAATTATTTTGTGGATGAGAGTTACAAATCCGCGCTTTTGGCGTCAAATCTTGTGTCACAAGCAACAAATACGCATGTCGTCACTCGCAGGCCATAAATCCTCATGCACAACTATCATGCGATCATTCGCATGCCACAATTTCATGAATTAACTAGCATATCATCGTCGTCTACATACCCACTTCTCATTTCCTTGCAAACCTTGGTCGGTGTTTTGGACTTGTACGTCTCAAGCCATGGCTGAAATAAGTGCCGTCACGCGTCTCAACACGCGGGACAATTTTTCTAATACTTCTCGAATTCCAAGGCCTACAATCGAATGCTATTATTCACATGCTGATATTACCATACATCAACTCTCATAGAATTATTAGCTTGCATCAATTCATAAGTGTCTATAAGGCGCATGCCGTAAATCTCATGCCCCAATTCCCAAGCAACTAATACTCGTGCCATCATTCGCATGCCCCAATTCCCAAGCAACTAATACTCGTGCCATCATTCGCATGCCCCAATTCCCAAGCAACTAATACTCGTGCCGTCATTCGCATGCCCCAATTCCCATACATCAACTAGCACGCCGAAATTGCCGTGCCCCAAATTGCCATATCGCAATGCCTCGTAACTGATCGCAAATGAAGCTGTCAGCGCACACCTTATGTATAATTGTCACGCCAGCGCCCTTCCTAAGTGCAATAAACTTAGGAGAGACGTTAGTGCGACCTGAGCACGTAGCACTTACCTAAGCCAGAGTGGCATCAGACCCAAACTATGGTTACATGACTAACGACATCACGCTTTTTTTCAACGATGGCGACTAATAAGGATATATTGAAACAAATATTTATGATATGCTGGACATCATAGGAGTCAGATATGTTGGAACAGAGAAAGAAAACTAGGTCAATTACCCTGAAAATTTTGAATTTTGTTGTTTACAATCAGGTCTCATTGATTATTGTACTTAACGAACGACTATTATACTAATAAAAACGCGATTTTTGACTTCATTAATTGTGAGCGATTGGAGTAAATCGTTTCTTTGCTGTTTCCATCAGGGGCAGCTGAACAGCTTACGTAAAATTTATTCTGTTGGAATAAATATGAAAGAGATATTTTAATAAATATGTTTACTGCTTGTTCTTTATAACTTCTTCTGTGCGGCAATTCGACGGAAATTTTTGGGGTTCCTTTTGATTCTTGTATCAGATTTACCCAAACAGGGTGCCCATAATAGGGAGGAGCTTAAGATAAAAGTTGCCAAAGGCCAATTAGTGTATTCAAACCGTGTTTTGTATATTTCTTGAAAGTTCTATATCTGATAACTTCAAATAGTCACAATAAAATTATCGTAATTACAAACTCGAAGTGGATAAGGAGTTATTTCACACAATTTTTCATCAGCAAAAGAATCAAACAGATGGCAGTGTTTGAAAACTACTGTGCGAATCCAACGTACGTTCGTATGTTCGATTCCAACGTACGTTCAACGTTCAGCTTACCATTGGGTTGGGCAGCGTAGCCGAGTTAGTTAGCGTTGTGTGCTCGTTAAGGTAGGTGTGTGCGTCTGTTGAAATATTGCCTGCCGTCTACTCGTAGTAGACAGTGACCGTTACACTACTACCGAGTTTGAATTCAGCCGTTGATATTCAAGTGGTCAAGCACACACAGTTGCCACCTACATATCACCCAATAATACATTGGTGTACATGCGTTAAAAATTTCATTTAAATCCAGCAAAAGATTGTAGTGACACAAATCAGTGTTTGGATAGCCTACGTATAACTTGGTCGAACCAAAGAATTGGACGCGTGTGTGGTTTCTCGCCTTCTGGAAATTCCCTGATCTCTTTACAATTTATATTGCAAACAATTTCAAATGTAACTAGCGAACAGTGTTTTTTGAGTATTTAAATGAACAGTGCATTTCCAATTATGCCCTATCTAAGGAAATGAGTTGAACATTTATATATATAGCTATATATGAATCTAAGGCCAACAAATAATAGACCGGTTAACCTGTATACCTACTTGATAAAACGTTAAAAAGAAAACTTGAAAAGCTATATTCGTTTAGCTGATTACAGTGAATATTGGATCTTATAATGACAACGAGCCCCAAAGAATCTACGACCATGTCTCCTCTGCAAGAACGTCGTCTCCAGACTTCAGCTCTGACGCGACCTCCCTTCATGGTGACTTCACCATCTCGTATTATATCCCACAGACGACACAGACCTGCTCGTGCTGCGTTGTTCCAGCCGCCTGATGCAAATAAACACATTGAACGCCGGCGTAACATTGATTTTGCTATTGAAAACTGCTTCACGTCACGGAAGGAATTTACCGATAAGTGGAACTTCGATCCCTTCAATATGAAACCATTGCCAAACGCTTCTAGCGACAAAAACGCTGCATCTGGGAAAAGCAAAACTGGTACTGAAACAAATACTTCACCTAAATACGAATGGAAGCTTATCAATGAAAACCCCGAAAAGAAAGCTTTGGAAAAAGTTTTGTGCTCATTGGTTCCTAACGCTCGTCATTCATTGCGACTATCTATTATCACACGGCGTGAGAATTATCAAGCTTGTGATATCGCACAAGAAAATGAAAATACTCTCCCTGGAAATACCGGCGTTCAATCAAAATCATTATCTGAAGCCGATTTAGAACCGAAGCCTGAAATTGCAAGTATTTCTCTCGAATCCGATACGAAAGGTAGCAATTGTTCAATAAATTGCTTGAATTTTGGTAGCTCTGATACCTCAACAGTCTTGTTGGAAAAACCGTTAGGATCCGTTAGTTCTGGCAGTATTGAGAACAAGGGAGTTACCTCGGAATCAATATCTGTCATCGCCAACAAGAGCAGCGGCAGCAGCAGTTCTCCCTCAACGGTCGGTATCGATCTTCCAACGGCCGTGGTAACGATCGCCGAAACCAAAGATCACAAAGACAACACTAAGCAACCTAAGATAACTGGTGAGTTCTACAAGATACCTAGCTAATTGTTTCCTAGTATGAAATTTCCGACTTTAATTTACTTTGTGTACATATGTCATGCAATAATTAATGTTGATGCCTCAATAGACAAATGATTTTGTCTTTTAACAAATGGTATCTTTGCCTAATATTAAAGGAATGAAGAATTGAAGATCGTTGTTCATATTTCTACCATTTACTTAATCCTTGGAAGAAAGAAACTAAAATTTTGTAGACTGCACTTGAGATATTAGATGAAGTCACAGCCTGATTCAATTTGAGTGTTGATATCTGAAATTCTCTATAAACCCCGGGTGTTTCTCGTAGATTGTTGATCACTAACCGTGTTTTAGTTTTTAGGAGTATGATATTATGAATTATTAAATTATATGAATCATACTTCCCTCTTGTGCAGCAAGTTTTTCGGTTATTAAAGTAAAGTGTACCTTTCCTCCTTGTGCAGATTTTGCGTGCCACAGGAAGCGACTTCACAGCGAGGCTATGGCGACGCCCGGCAGCCCTCCCAACAAGCGACATCGTTCCTCGTGCTGAGACCCGTGTCCGAGTTGCTACCTAAGTCTTATACGCAACTAATAGAGTAAATAGACCTGTGCAGCGTCGGAGGAAGCATCGTGTGCGAAATTTGCAACCTCAACACGATCGGGATATACGACTGGAGTGTCTTTTGTATACTTCATTCATGTCTCAGATTCTCGATCTCATCCATTTATATCTGCGAGATTGGATACTCAGTATTGTTCGACTTGGTTCTAATGTTTTCCGTAGCTATGTGACTAAATTATTCCATTTCGTTATTTTCCTAATCACTGCTTGGATTTCCCTGCAAATAAGTCCAGCTGGATACAATCAGTTCTTACTTACCTCGTCTGCTTCTGCTATTAGCCACAGTTAAAAATTAGTGCCACTTTTCCAACCTTGACTCGTTTAAAGAGTTTAACTTCATAAAAGTTGTTTCTAATATATTAAATTTGACAGTCGTACAAAGCCACCTCCCAAATTGTAAATCGTAGTGGGCAATTTTATGTTTTTTATATTCAAGAGGGAAATATTTGGAAATTAAATAACTGTTATATACATTACCTATACCTATACTTATAAACCCTGTCCATTACTGTATCTGTAATTGTTATGAAAATTTCCCCATGATTAATTTGTAATGCTTCTTATATGATTAGGGTATTTAAATCGCAGGCTCACTATGAATTTAAAATCAATGAAAATGCCGTATCAACTCATCTTTAATGAAAACGTTTCGGAGAAACGAGGAGCGCTTTCCTTCATTGAAGATATGATGAATGCGCTTGACGTTTTCTTTGATTTTAAATTCTAGGTATTAATTTTCAATATTTGCTCTGAGAAGATTCGCATACAAACATTTGGCTATAGCTGAAGCATCTTTGTCTTTATTCGTTAATTATGTTCATAGGTCGTTGCTTTTCAGCTCGCTTCTACTCTAGTAGGGGAACTTTGACTGCGTTCGTATGTTTATATTTAATAATGCTTTTCGCCAAACCATTTTTCATTAATTGTTTAAGTTTCATAAACTAGAAGGCGATGGTTGGGCTCCACTAATGTACTGGTGCTTGCACCATACGCTTAGTCATTCTGAGCAATGTAGTATAGTGTCTCTAATATTCTGTTGTAATAATATTAACTGCCAATATGTTCAGAACGGATTTAGTCACATGTGTGCATTATAGATAGGGAATGATAATGGTTGCAGTTTTAAAATATCTCATTTAATAACAGATATACCATATACTATAACCAAATGACAGCTTTCTTGCAATCAGGCTATGTGATTTCATCCAATTGCTGGTGCCGCTGGTATTTTTTGAATGTTCTAATTTTTGATCTTGAAAAATTGTTCATCTATAAATCAATGTGCGACAATAAGCACATCAGAAATTTTTTTTTTTTTGTAAATTTCTGATAAATTGTCATCGAGCTCTTGCATTGATCAATGCATGTCATGGGCCCAGTTAATAAATTCTCATGCATCTTTTTTATACTAAGAAGTTTTTGAAACTTTTTCAAACCAAAGAAAGTCGTCTAAACTCGTTTGGGCATTTAAGTGAAATCGTGCTCTATTTCGTTGGAAATCCAATAGGTAAAACATTTACTTAGTTCGCTTGTGTTTCGTCATGAAGCAGAAAGGCCATTTTATTGGTCGTTTATCCACAAGTAAATACAGTTCTTCGAAAAACTATTCGAAATATTTTGATCTTATGTTGTTGCTGTACAATTGTTTGTTTTTGGACCAAACTTCCATGTACTCTAACGAACTTGTGTAAACTTAGTTAATGAGTAAGTATTTCGGAGAGTCCATGTTGCCTGCCTCCCGATTAACCTGGTTTTTCACGGAGCTTTGTTTCAGTAAACCTGGTCACGAAAAATATTTATGATTGAGAACTGCGTTCCATACGTGTGACTAAAGTTTTCGTGAAATTTTGCATGCGACTTAAGTGGTTTGAAATGAAGGAAGCTTAAACCAAAGTAAGTGACACTGAGTGTCTGTTGTTGTTGGTTCCACAACCGGGCTATAATTCTTGTTGAAGAAATAACGTGCTTTGGTAACATGGCTTTAATTAATGGAACTAACGCTTGGAGCTGCCTCGTGACCCGCATCAGTCTCTCTCTCTCACCATTTTTTGCATTCATTTATCGGAATAAGTATATATCAGGACAGCGTTTCAAATCACATCCTATTGGATACCCAACCTCTTATAAATATGTTCATTGTTTGTAAACGCTGGGGAATTTTCATCAGGAGTTTGTTGGTGTCGTTAGTTTTTTTTATATTGCATGTATCCCATTCAATAATTATTGGAGCAGAGAAATAGAGGCAGGTTCGCGAGAAGCTCCTTAGCGTGGAGTGTACAAACAAGGAAGAGTTGCCCTATTTATCATAACAGTTATTCCCTAAAATGTAGTAGAATATGTACTACATTTTAGGATTTTTCTTGGTTGTTCTCTCATTTTCTTCCAAATAAAGAATATTCATTATTCCATTGTTCATTTTAAGGAAATTTTCTCAAGCCCAATATTCTCATCGGGCTGAGTTTGTTTCTATTTCTTGTTTCTACTGCTTTAACAATCTAACTAGCTATCATCTTCGCTTCAAATATTATAGGTGAATTTACCAGTTCGTTGCTCTAGGATATTTTGTGAAGCCATCTTTTGCTAGTTCTCTTTTGATGTTTATACGAGTGTTACTGCTCTTGTTCGTGCTCTTGGCTCAATAGGGAAAATTTTGCTTGTAATCAATCCATTTGTCTTTCATCGCGAAATATGTCGATAATTGAACATCACAAGAAGTATTGATTTGCGAAGAAATATTAATGTTGAATATTTGTACTACCGGTAATTGTTATGGAGCCATTTATATGATACATTTCATCGCCCTCTTGCATTGTCAAAGCCTCGGAGTATCGTACACAGCTTGGTCAAGATAATCTCATATTTATTCATTGTAAATTCTTCCCTTGAGTAACGACTTATAAGTGTCGCCTATATTTAGAGCGATCTAGTCACATTACTAATTCTATTAGAAAGTGTTTATTGTAATTAATCCTGTTATTTTCATCTACGGTAATTTCTCATTGTTTTTTCTTCGACCCTAATTAAATTATGATAACAAAAAAGTTAGTTTCTTTTTTCCTCGGCTAGTAGAAACCCTTGATCCTTTCAGCGTTCAAGTTTTAAACCTTGGCCGCACGTAGAATTTTAAATCCTCTAGCGGTTGAAAAGAAGTGGAGAATGATCGATGTTCAACGTGTTTCTTGAATGACACCCTCTCTGAACCAAATCTAAGGTCCTTACTGGATTTATTCGTCGTCGTCGTTCGATATGGAGAAAAACTGGCAATAATTTGGGGAGAAACATTCTTTGACTGAAATACGAAGCATTTGAGAGTTTGAGTGCGCCGAAGCGAATGAACGTAGTTGCACGAGGGGCCAAAATCCCACAACTTGCCAGCATCTTGACCTTTTCATGTAAATGATGTAATTATTGATTTATCACCCATATACTTTTAGAACAGGAGTAAAATTGCCCTAGCGAGTAATTTGCCTCACGCTGAAATAACTTCAAATTAATAAGCTTTCCAAGTACGGAAAAAATCATAAATTACTGTCATAAATCGATTCTACATAGACAGACTCGTCAGAGAACTTAACGTCTGACAAAGAGGAACTCTTAGACATGCTAAAGTAAATGTTTCAAGGACATTCAAGTAAATGTTGTGTACGGAATAGAGGAAGAAAATATGCTTACTAGAGAGGTTAGGAGTAGCTTATGGTGTAACCGGGAGGAAGTTTCAGGTACTTGATTTAATGCCATGAAAAGAACCAGTTCCCGCTTAATTTGTACTTAAATATTCTCTCAGCAAAGTCTGCGCTGAATGCAAGTTCTGTCATCATGTTCATGCTAAAGGCAATTTTTTGTTGGATTTTACACAGTAAAAAAATGTACCATATGCACTTCAAGATGTCTGGACACCTCTTGCGCCGCCAGCAACCGTTGAAGCTAAAGCTGTATTCTGCCAACATATAACATGCCTTGTGCACATTGGATAACACATCACATGCCTCGTGTTCAATGGGGAACACATCACATGCCTTGTCTACATTGGATAACCCATCACATGCCTCGTGTTCAATGGGGAACACATCATGAACACATCACATGCCTTGTCTACATTGGATAACCCATCACATGCCTTGTGTTCAATGGAGAACACATCACATGCCTTGTCTACATTGGATAACCCATCACATGCCTTGTGTTCAATGGGGAACACATCACATGCCTTGTGTACATTGGATAACACATCACTTGCCTTGTGTTCAATGGAGAACACATCACATGCCTTGTGTGCATTGGATAACACATCACTTGCCTTGTGTTCAATGGAGAATACATCACATGCCTTGGATGGCACATCACACACCATGAGAATGTGAACACATCACTGCCACGTGCACATTTCGGAATGCATCACATGCCAAGTGTACAAATAGAAACACAAAGGTAACAAAATGTTTCATCTCTGCTAGATTGAAGAAATCAAGTCGAAATTAATGTGTCAATGAACTTTTAGTTTCGTAATTGATTGGCTGCCTAATTGCCAGCCTCACGTGGAGATAACAGCTGGAACAGCGGTGTCGCGTGCAGCTGACATATTTCAACATTTATTTACGTTCTGCAGCTGTCAATGTCATCATTCATTTAACGTATTTAGAAGAAAATTGATTGATTAAGAAAATTATTAAGATTTTATTTTTCCTCACTGACATTAGATCCAATTAATTTAAAGTTAAACCCTAGTTAAAAATTATCATTTGCCGATAATTAAAATGTCTTTTGCCTATAATAACATTTATACGATATAATCCAACATAAATATTGACCCGAATGAAAATGATTTTATCTGAAAAAAAATTGTAGTGCACGCAAATGGTGACGTGCAACACGCAGGTGGTGACGTGCAACACGCAGGTGGTGACGTGCAACACGCAGGTGGTGACGTGCAACACGCAGGTGGTGACGTGCAACCCCAGGTGGTGACGTGCAACACGCAGGCGGTGATGCGCCTCCCGTCACCAGAGGGCGCTGGCGCGTACGTTTTGATAGGTCGAGTTTGTCGCTCAATTTTACGCTCATTGGACATGTAAATGTGCTAAGTGACATGCCATGGATACGGGTGTTGGACGTGCGTATAAAGGAGATTCTCGTCATGCCAAACGATTCTTTGTTACGCTGGGTCTACATACTCAATCTTTCTGATTCAAGCCAACGATTATCGTAAGGTTGATGCTGATCGGAAGTTTTATCATTGAGACTGGATTGATATGTAAGGAACTGGAGTGATATGCTGGTAAATTTATGATATCTCGGTCATTTCCTGAAATCACTGAAATCAGCTCATATAAACAACTTTTTCCATATAATGCGAAACCCTGGCAAGAACAGGTCAAGAGAAACGAAACAAAATCTCCCAATTTGCAAATTTTGGAGCATATGATATCAACATGGCGGTAGTAACTGATCAACTATGAGAGATTGTGACATAACAATACTGCTCAGAAATTACTTGTTCCTCCAACTATTGACATTATAGAATAACGTCTGTTCAGCCACAACAATGGTATTCTCTATAGTTATAACATTACCTTTGAATCTATGATTTCCATGCCAGATGCAACGATACAAAGGACCTGAATCAATAATCTTTTCTACCTTCATATT